TTCAGCAGCTTATCATCATTTATGCACATTTTTTAGCAAATCTTTAAAGGTACTTATTTTAGGTACTTCATAGATTTGTGACACCTAATGTTGAAAATAATTTTTTTTTTGTAATCTTTCTTGAAGCTTTTATTTTAGTTTTAATTTTAAGGTAATAGATTAAATTTAATATTTCCAATAAGCAAAATATTTTGCTCTATTTCAAAACTAATTTAAATTGGCTGGAAGAAAGGTTTTCTTTTTTGCTAAAAAAATTGATTTTAGCAGCATTTTTAGTCATCGTTCATTGCAAAAATAAACTTCCAAAAATAAAATATATTTTTCTGATACTTTATTTGAGGAATATTAGCTGATTTAAAGTTGAATTAATCTGATTTGAAATAAATATTACTTAAAGTTTAAAATATCACAGAAATACAATATTTTTTTTTAAATCAACGCAGTATCTATTTAAGATGTTGACAGATGGAAGTTTAATTTTTTTTTCTATGGTGGATATATCTAAAAAATAAATGAAGAATATACCAGCAGCATGTATTTTATATAATTTTTAAATACTCAGTAATCTTATAAATTTAGGAAAATATTCTGTAATCTAATGTTTTATTCAATTCTAGATACTTTAGCTTTAAATCTACTTTAGTTATCCCTCTTATTTTCTGATAACGTCATGTATGGACATCCATATCTACAAAAATCAGCATGTTTATACAGACAAAAAAAAAAAAAAATGCAAAATTCTTTTTAAAATACGAGGGAGACACTAAATTGTAATAAGCTTTTCCATTTAAATATAGTTTTTACTTAATTACAATATCACCTGTTACAAATTAATACAGGTTTTTAAAAGATTTAAAACTTTATAAATTATTGTAAATAAAAAAAAACAAAAAACACAAAAACAATTCTTGCAAAAATTCATTATTCATTGAAAGAAATTTTCTTAAAACAATAAGTGTCCTTAATATATTTTATCCATAAAAGCAATTAAAAGCTTTTCTAATTAAATAATATTTTAGTTTTATGCATTTATTATTTTATGATTCAAAATAGATTTTGGGTAATTGGGGATTTGTTAAAAAAAAAAAAAAAAAAAAAAAATTGATGATTTAAATTCTCAAAGGAGTTCTGCTTTTCATTCATTTGAATAAATCCTGAAAGTTTCATTAAAATCCGACAATTATTGATTTTTACAAGAATTTTTACAAATCAAAATATTTAATATGCTAATTTATAGTCTGATCACTGACACAAGAAAAACAATTTTTTTTAGCCAAATTTACAAATATTCTAAAATTAAATAATCAAAAAATACTTTTGACTTTTCTCTTAATTATTATTAAGAGAAAAGTCAAAAGTATTTTGACAACAAAACTTTCTTTTTATCAAGTTCGGGGCCCTTTTTTCATCATGGTATGCTCGTTTTTCACAAAAAAAGGAGGTAGGTAGAGGTGAAAAATATAAAGTGAAAAGTGAAATCTGTCAAGATAAACATTTAAATTGAAACAATTCATTTATTTAATTTATATATCCATAATTTTTTAATTATTTAATTCAATTTTTTTTTTTTAACAATGCAGCCATTTCATTTTTTCATATTATTATTCAATTTGGCTATGTATGTACCAAAATAAAAAAAAAATGTTTCCTGCTTCTGTCAATTTATTAACCTCAAATTCAAAAATATCTTCCCATGTAAATTGAAATATGTGCACAATTTTCTTGAGAGATTAAATTAAATTTCAGTTTTTATTTAGAGAAAATAATGACTGAAATAAGTTACCATATTTGACAGTGTATAAGAAGCACTCAAATTTCAGCAGGGAAAACTCAAGAAAAAATTAGTAAAATTATTAGTAAATGGTACAGCTTAGACTATATTTATGAGGTATTATTTTGGTTAAACAAGCCATGATTACAATTTAATGAAAAATAATAGGAAAAAAGAACACAAGCATATAAAAACTTTATTATATCCAAAGGTAAGAAAACAAAATAAAAATCAAGTAATTATTACAATTGAGCAAAACAGTACAGTTAGCATTAAAATTTTATTTATTCATTTTCAAATCCATAAAATTTGTCGTCTTCATTATCAAAACTCTGATACTCGTTTTCAATACTATTATCATCGTCATTAAATAATGCATCATATTCCATTCCATAGGGAACATTGCTAATGCCACACTTTTTAAAAGATTTGACAACAATTTCTGGTCTAATATTATCCCAAGATTGCTTCACCTATTTGCAGAGTTGTGCAGGTCTTTTTATTCTTCCCGTAAGTGTAAGGTTGTGATCAGGCATTGCCATCCAAGTGTTCCATTGCTTCTTCATATTTTGCTTGAATGGTCTATTCAAAGACACACCCAGAGGTTGCAACGGACTTGTTAGTCCACCAGGAGTAACCACTATCTCTGTCTTCAATTCTGCCACTGTCTTTTTAATGAAGGCACTTGGAAATGATCCCAAACCAGAAGAGAGGGCTTTAATAATAGTCCACCAGGACGTCTTTCTCATACAACTCTGAGCCATAACTGTAGACCAGCTTTGTCCATCCAGCCTTTTGGATGAACATCCACACCTTTTGGTACTTTATCTTTCAGTGTAGTTTTTCTCTTAAAAATCAGAAAAAGGAGGCAGTTTTGTGCCATCAGTGCAACATGCAAGAATGACCATATAATGGGTCTTCCCATAGCTTGTGGTTTTTATTGTAATAGTCTTGGATCTCTTAATACTCAGTTTTGTTTGATGGAACATCAAATGTTAGTGGGTCTTCAGCCATATTTCCTATCTGGCCAAGTTCAAAAGGAGTTCTTTTTCAAGCATGTATAACAAATTTATGAAACTTTACTATTTTGTCATCATAGCTGGTATTCTCTGTGCAATTTTTTTGCACACATTGACAAGCCTTCCCGTTTCATAAAACAATAACACCAACCTTCTGTTCCTATAAAGTATTGAATCCCCTTTTCATTCGCTAATCTTCTAGCCTCGTTACTTATCATTTTTGTAGTAATGATTCTGCCTGTACTCCTCTCAAAACAACCCACGTATTAATTTCCTCTTCAATTTCAAGCCAGGGTGGGACTAAAGTCTAAGCTAATAGGTGTTGTCAGAGTCTGTCTATATTTCTGAGATGAGGTATTATGTACATTATTTACATTATTCAAACTATTGTCCTCATCTTTGTCGCCATATTTATCACAACGTTTCGACCGTTGTACGCTCCGACCTTCTTCAGGTGGTTGGAATTTCAAACTGAACCCTTTATTACGCTCACTGGGGTAGACTGTTCTAGTTCCATGTACCATGTTTGATGGATGTCAGTTATCAGTTATCTCCTGCTAATTTCCCTCTGAAAGGTCGCCACTGCCTTAACCGGGTATTGAACTCACACTCTTTGGGTCCTGTCACTGGATCTAATCAACGCCTTTATCCACAGTGGACAATAGTCCGAATAATGTAATGTAATAATGTAGTTGTTGCCAGGTAGATAACTTTGGCCGACTATCGTGAATTTTAGACCTACATATGGTATACAAGATGCAGGGGTATTTTAAAAGATATTTTTAGTAAAAAAAAAAAAAAAAAAAAGAAAAAAAGTGTTTTATATGTCGTCAAATACGGTATATTGAATTTCTAACGCGAGTTTCATTTTATTCGTTTTTGAAACTGACATCAAGGCGCCAAAAAGGCGAGCAAGGGAGGTCATTCAGAACTCGCTGTTTGGAGCGGTAAAATCAACAATCACCCTTTCTGGCCTTTAATATCCCCTTTTTTTTTTTTAAACAAGTCATCAAGCAAATTATAGACAATTTTTAGCGTATAATGCCTGAACATTTTAAGATTTTTTAAATGTAATTGTACGCCATAAACATTGCATTGCTAATTGAATAAAACGGGATTTTGATCACCGCAAACACAATTTGTCAGTTGAATTAAAAAATACTTTATTAATTTCTTTAATTTACCTCTTCTCCCCACCAAAAAAAAAAAAACAAAGACGTATGACCTTTTGGGACACCAGGAGAATGAAATGAAATAATAATTATGTGCCCCCTTCCCTCCCCCGTCTTCAGACGTAGCCACCCTTTATCGCTCACACTAGTCTTTAAATATTTTTTTATTCATGATATATGCTTCCTTATTAGCTTGAAGTAATTGCAAATTCTTTAATCTTTACATTTGAATCTTTTGTTTGTCAATGAAAATACTATTTATACGAAATACCGCTATTGCAACCTAAACTAGCACAATGCTTCTTTTTTCAACATAGGCGTTAACCGTAGTAAAAAAGAAAATTTATAACCATCATCAAACAAAAAATAAATATGAATTTGTCATATTGATATGATTTCAGCTTAGGAAACTATTTAAAATTATAACATCCAAAAAATAAAAAAAAATCAGTTTCTTAAAAAGCTGCAGCTTCTTAGCTTTTAAATTCCGTCCTGGACACCAGTTCTTTTTCAATGAGAGGAGGAGATACGAGCTGTACATAAGGGCCAAGGTACTACACTTTGATCTTGGCCCAAATTAATCTATAATTATAAATTAAATGTAAGTTTTGCTATAATTTTATTTCCCTTCATATTCAATGCTTTTTTTTTTAATCAAACAAAAGAAAATGAATGAATGTCGACCCAAAAAATTGATTCGGGCGCAAGATTTTTTTTTTTAATGTATTTCTTCTTGAATTTAAAACCATAAACTCTGGAATTTCATTTCAATGTATAAAAAATAATAATTCCCCTAATGACCACAATCACAGAATACAGTAAAATCAAAACTCAAAAGACAACTATTTTTTCCTTGTATTCAAAAAGTTTCACTTTTGTTTACAAAACTTTCAAGTCTAACAAAGAAAGAAAAAATCCATGTGTCATGAAATCTTTTCTAATTTACAAAGTAAATTCTGATCTAAAAGGAAAATTACAAACTTATTAAGATTTTAGGATAGAGAATAATTAATAAATAAAACAAAGTTATTTTTTTACCTAAAAGCAGACCGTCCATATCAAAAATCACATGAGTAACCGGTTTATAAGTCGCCATCTTTTCTATTTGATCGTATTCATCACGAACCGTTCAGGGACATGAATTTAAAAATTATTTTTTTAATATAATTATTGTTTATGAATTATTTTCTAAGAAAAAGAAATTAATTGATATTTTAATCTTTTACAAATTTATTTTATTTAATTTTATTTTTAAATTTTTTTACGTCATATTGCACACGAGCGACAGGACTGATAAGTTCAGCTAAGTTTGACATAAGGCCACAAACACGGAATAAGGGTATTTTTCAGTGCGCCGCCGTTGCTACCGAATGTGACACAAGTTCGGGGTTTATTGTAGATTTAACGGCAATACCGTGGGAAAATTGACCAAGCCCACCCACCCTCAACACTTCCCCTTTTTGGGACGCCTCAGCAATACCACACCCCCGAAGGAGAATTACTGACTGGGGCTTTGGCTTAATATTTTTTTTTAAACTTCTCCTCATAGGCTTTCACTGACAGCAGGTCACGGAATAAGTGGGTATATTCAATAATTCGCCGAAAAACAGCATAGAGCATGATGAAAAAAACCCCAAACTTAATAAAAACAAAGTTTTATCGTGAAAATATTTGTTATTAATAAGAAGAACCAAAGTATTTTTTAAATTATTTTTAATTTTTTTTTTTTTTCCTTTCTAGCACGTTTGAAATTTTGGTTGAAAATCTCGTTTGAGAACATTATTGCCTGAAGCCAAAATATTTTTTCGATGAAAAATGAATTTTTACAAGAATTGTTTTCTTTTTTTTTTCAATTCTAAATACAAAATGTAATAAAGTTGTTTTAATATCTTAAAATTAAGTTTGAATATCTGTATCTCTGGAAATGCTCTTTTAAAAGACCTATTTTTAGAGATCATAAATTTGAAAGCTTATTACACTCTGCAAGTGTTTCAATTTTAAAATTATTTTTTAATATCCCAAAAAATGTATTAAATAATGTTTCCGGCAAATCTACGGAGGCACAATTCAGAAATAATGACTTGTGTTTTAAGAATTGTTTCTCCTGATAGCGAGGTTCCGGCCTCATAAATTGCATTGATTTCATATCAAATCCTCTGACTGACCGACCATCATCGTCGCATTTTCAAAATTTCTAATTTTCTTTCTTTTCTTTCTTTTTTTTTTTTTTTTTTTTTTTACATATTTAATTTCACTAAATATTTTCTTATCATTTTTAAATATAATCAATTTTTTTTCTTTTTCAGTGAGCGACATACCGCAATTATTCATTTTTTTTTCTTTTTTAGATTAAATTTTATGGATGGTAACAGTGCAGGCTTTGGACATATCTTCGTTTAAAAGTACCTACAAAGCAATACAATATTAGACTTTTGAAAGTATTTAATTTTTAAGAATTACGTTATAGCTAAACAAGCTGGTTCACTTAAAATTCGAAAATACTGTCACTTCTGACCTTCCGTCCGATAAATTGCCCTGATGTTGTAGATACATTGACGTAAACGTCAATTCATGCCTCCAAAACCAATCACGACGGTTAGACATACTTCTCTTATTTCCAACTAAATTTTTTCTGCTAAAAAAATTGTTTCCAGTTACATTAAGTATACTTTAAATTTTTTAATTTTCCTAAAATAACTTTTGAAAAAAAGTATAATTGAATTTTACAAAATTTTTAAACGAAGAATTTCACTTTTGTTTATAAAGTTGTCAAAAATGGTTGACATGATCGATTTTATGTAAAATTTTTTTAATCAAAAAAACAAGATTTTTAACTAAAATTTTGGACGTGCTAGAAAGGATTAAAAAAAGTTTAAAAATATTCAAAAAGTACTTTGGTCTTTCCTCTTAATAATAACATAAATATTTAAACGATACAAAATTGTTTAATCAAGTTTTGGGTTTTTTTCATCAGGTTATGCTCTTTTTTAGTGAAGTATTGACCATACTAAGTATTGGGTATCATAATCAATACACAGTAGTAATCGCCAACTCGCTAACAATGACATCAGGACAAGGTATTCATTATAGACTTAGGGTGAGACTGGGTAATGGTTAACAAGATTATCTAATAGAATCAACAAATTCATCATTTATATCAGACTCAGAAAAGAAAATGAAAAACAAGGTAGAAACGGAAAGGAAGAAGAAAGGACTAACTATTAATTGTAAAAAAAAAAACAAACGCATTGTTGCGGATTTGAATCAACCCACAACAAAGAAAAAGCGAAAAAGGTGTTTGAATATAAAAATATAAGATTAGCGTGTATGAATGTTAAAGTTCTTACAGTCCTTGTTTGTAGTTGTTTGTTAAGATGAAAAAAAATATGATGTTTCGAGTATATGCGTGAGAGAGAAGAGGCAAGGGAGAAAGTAAGAGGAAAGTATGCCATATAACTTGATAAGGAAAACAAGTGAATGAGTAAGGGAATTTCTTGTAAGCCGTCATGTCTTGAATCGTTGCCGCCTATATCTCCTTACTGCCTTGCCTGGTCTAGAAACTTTGCTTATATACCCTTCAAAGGGAACGCGAAACATGTTATTTTTATTGTTGGCGGGAACGCGAGCCGTTGATTGAAAAATGTTAAATATTTATTTTCAAAACATTTTTTTATTGACGGGAAGAATGCGCGATCCTCCGACTCATTTATTGTTATTTGGTGTTTGACTGTCTTGGTGTTTATTTCCGTCTTCGGTCCCCAGCATAGTCGCCAGGAAAAGAGACAGTCTGTATTGGAGATGCTAAAATCAGAAATTCAACTATTTTGGTAGTGTAGTTACTGACAATTGAAAATGTGACTCAGGAACACCAAAAGATGCCTCCCAGAAGCTAAATTAAGTTAAGTATGTACTAATACATAGGAAAATATAATTTGAACCAAAAAAAAAAAAGTGTTGAACTATGTCATTTCTAATCTTCTACGTGACAGTGATAATTTCCTTACATAAGAATAAAAGCAGAAGAGATATGGTTCTACTGACAAATACTAAGAATACCATGGACAGAACATCATGTGAGCACATTATTCGGACTATTGTCCTCATCATTGTCACCATATTTATTATAATAAATATGGCGACAAAGATGAGGACAATAGTCCGAGTAATGTAATAGTGTACATAATACCTCATCTCAGAAATATAGACAGATCATGTGAGCAATAAGGAAGTTTTGGGGAAAAGGAACAACAAGGATACATATACATATAATCAGAAAGCTGAAAATTCTAGGACTCAAGAAAGAGACCTTAGCACAGTTTTTCTCAAACTTGTTTCACTTCAGGGCGCACTTATCCAATAACTAAAATTCGGGGCACACTTTAAATTTTAATACTGAAAAATAAGTCCTGAAATTTGAAAATAGGAAAATAATTAAAAAAAAAAAAGTATCCTGAAATAAGCATTTATTTTTAGGATATTACATTGTTCAGTGTCTCTAGCTTTTTAAAAATAAAGATTTTTAAAATATAAAAATGATTCATAAATTACTCTTCTGTTAACTTGGAGCGAACCTGGATTTCAGGGCGCATTAGTGCGCTCGGGCGCACTGGTTTAGAAACGCTGGCCTAGAGACTCAAATGACATGACAGGAACGAGAATTGATTGATTAATTCATTCGTTTTTTACGTCTTATGAACCCTTTGCAGTTTGTTTAAATCCATAAAATATTTTTTAAATTGTAAGAGTTGTTTTTTAAGATAATAAAAAAGGGTTTAGTGATATAGGTCTTACTAATTAACCCAAAGCTGGGGGAGAAGAGACAGATTCATACATTTCACAGTTAAGAAGCTTTAAGCTAAAGAATATAGAATTTAAGCTAAAGAATATATTCATGCAAGCCAAAAACCACCACACATACAGCTCGCCTTTCAAAAAAAAAAAAAAAAAAAGTATCAGCTTAATAGAATATAACTAAAGCACCTCCATGTATTAAAGCCCCTCCAAGTATTAAAGACCCTCCAGGTATTAAAGCCCCTCCGGGTATTAATCAAATGTGTGTCCATCATGCAGAGTGGTGGATTTATGCCTTTCCCAAAGGTATGTGAGCGCAAGTGAATATAAAGAGTCCAACAAGAATTGGAACTTGGCTCTCCGATTAACAATTCCGAGCCATTATCCATTACACCACCCGCACATTCCAGTTTACAGCACCTGGTATTCCCAAGCAGTCACCCATCTAGGTACCAAGCTTTACATTGCTTAACTTCAGTGATCACACGGGAACCTGTGTTTCAATGTGATATGGCCGTATGTCGAAGGTAAGAGAAACAAGAGGAAACAATGAGTAAGCTACTTGTGTGAACTGATTACAGAACAAAGGGACAAAGAGAGGTCGTTAAAAGTAAAACATTGCTTAGAGCAGCAAAAATGTTGTGGAGAGCCATGATTGGCTATATCCTGAAAACACATAAAATAAGTAAAAAATACATCCTCCTGACTAACACAGACATTATTGACGTTTGGTTATTAAATATTTAGACGTGACCATGGTAGTATCTGCTATAATTACCTCAAAACTTATAATAAAAAAAATAATGATGGCTAGGAAGAAAATGGAAAAACGTAAATGAAATTCTTATTTTCTAAAAAGAGAACATGCTAACACTGTACAGAAATGTGTTGCATGCTTTCTCTCTAACCCTGAAATGGAAAACTAGTGGGTTTTGGAAATGTTTTCCTGACTAAATACTCTTAGCCAACACAGATATTACCGATGCTGTATTACCAAATATATGTGGATGACCTTAGTAGTATATGGTTGTTGTAAGCAAATAATTACCCAGATATTTCTAATAAAAAATTAAAGATGGCTTGAGTGATGTAATAGGAAGAGTAAGTCACAAAATTAATAAGGTCGTGAAAGTGGTTGTCTCCCCCTACACAGAAGTAGAAAACCACGTGACATCTATCGAGGTTCAGGTACACAACGACCGGCGTAGAGGATAGACGCTCACACGAGGACCTGGGACCTGCTCCAATGCCAAAGGACCAGCTCTAGACGAAGGAAATTACAGACTTGTTCTGGTGAAACGGATACCTGTTATCTGTGTCAACAACGTATCCCTCCTGTAAGTTGTGCTACACATTCTATGTAGACGAGGACAACATCTGTATTAGCTTTCCTAATAATAATATTGCTATCGTTATAACTTGCGTCTAAAGCTTTTTTTAACGTATACACCCCAACAGTTGCAAAATCTATAATCTACAACCAGTTTAACTTAAAAAGATTCCCCTGGTGACAAATACAGACGTTTTAAAAGTATTCTATAAGATAACACTTACAACTGGTTAGGAATTAAAGATATCTACATGCTTATTAACAACCTTGTCGAAGTAGGTCTTCTTTTTCTACAATAGCTGCATGTGATGCAGGAGAGGTTTTGACCAACAAAGTAAGTCGCCATTTTTGATTTTTTACAATATTGTAAATAAAGTTCTTATTTTCTATAAAGAAGACACGCTAATACACGGGACTACTACTACCACTGCTGCTAATGAAGATGATGATGATGATACAAGATAAATTTCTTTGATTCTTATATTAAATAATTTATGCGAAAAAATCTTCAAAATTTACCAAATTTAGGTTCCGTACACTTCAAAAAGACATGTCCCATTTTGTCTACAACACAAAGATGCATATTCCTGAAGTTTGTATTAAAATAAAGAACCAAAAGCTCAATAAGATATTCTTCAAAGTTCTGGGATTTACAATGTATTTAACAAACTGATATAGATTGTTTGGTGCTCATTGACAGCATTGACTCTGGGACACCATCATTTCAACAATAAAATATTTTGGTATTTTGTATATGTTGGCTGTTAACTAATTCAGGTATTTCCCCTTCTAAACTTAATGGATGGTTTCAAGCAGGAGCAGGCTTGTCTCCCTTCCTTCCAACTTATATTTTACCAACGAACCAAATATAAGCTGGTTAAAATTTCTCTTTTTGACATTAACTAATGATACCTGGAGAACAGGTGCCACTTTAACTGCTGGTCTCTGATTAGTCTATGCAACTTCAAATTCTGAGAACTGTAATTAATTTTTACTGGACTTTTATTTTATCATTAGCTATCAGCTGCATCGCAAACGCACTCATATCCTCCTCCTCCTCCTTTAGTCCCGTAAACTCCACTGAGGAGTATGTGGCTTTATATATATATATATATATATATATATATATATATATATCCCACGAAATTTTCTTGTTAAATATTATACACATATCACAAGAAAGTTTCGTGGATTTATCACTTTTCAAATTCAAACAAAATTCTCACTTGATTGATTTGAACAAGAACTTTAGTGTTGCGTCATCGCATGCTCCAAAGCATATATTCAACTGTAAATAAACAACTTCATAAAAAAAATCTTTCGCTCTACACTACACATATTTCGTTTTAGTGTTTTTCCTGTGTATGGAAAAATTGCGCCCCGAAGATGACAATTTGGAATTGTCGAAAGTACTTGGCCCGTCAATTCCATTTGACAACAACTCAAATATAAGGATCATTAATCAAGGAATTGATAGTAAGTTAATGCCTCATTAAGTCTTGTTAGCGAAGTTATTTTGCTATTAACATTGCTAATTAATTTAATTCTTTGTATAAATTGCTTCATTATGATATATATATATATATATATATATATATATATATATATATATATATATATATATATATATATATATATACTCACACATGTATATATATATATATATATATATATATATATATATATATAT